GGGCCTTACCTCTTTAATCCTCCTCCACCCACAGATCCCTGGCAATCACTGATGTGTTTACTGTCTCTGTAGTTCTACCTTTTCCAGAATGTCATACAGTTAGAATTGTACAGTATGTAGAATTTGTAGACTAGCTTCTTTCTCTTAGCAATACTCATTTAATATTCATCCATGTCATTTTGTGGCTTGATAGCTCTTTATATCATGGGATAGTATTCCATTGTATGGCTGTACTACAGTTTAATTATCCATTCATTTACTGAAGGACATCTTGGATGCTTCCAGCTTTTGGCAATTATGAATAAAGCTGCTATAAATATTCACATCTAAGTTCTTGTGTGAACATAAATCTTTAAATCAGTGGGTAAATACCTATAATTATGATTGCTGTATCATATGGTAAGACTATGTTTAGTTTTATAAGACAGTGAGAAACTCTCTTCCAAACTGACTGTACCATTTTGTATTCCCATCAGCAATAAGTGAGAGTTCCTACTGTTTTGGCATCTCTGCAGATTTGGTATTGTCAGTTTTTTAATGTAGCCATTTGTAAGAGGTGTGAAGTGGTATCTCATTGTTTTAATCTCTGGTTCCCTAAAGACAAATTATGTTGAGAGCATTTTATCATATACTTATTTGCTAACTGTGTATCTTCTTTGGTGAGGTGTCCAGAACTTTTGCCCATTTTTAATTGTATTGTTTGTTTTCTAATTATTGAATTTTAAGATTTCTTTGTAGATTCTGGTTACAAGTCCTTTATCAGATTTGTGTCTTGCAAATATTATCTCCTATGGCTTGTCATCTTCTTTCTTAACAATGTCTTTTTTCAGAGCAGATGTTTTTAATTTTAATAAGACCCAATTTATCTTTCTTTTTTTCTTTCATGGATTATTCCTTTGGTGTTTATTTAAAACTCATCATCAAAACCAAGGTTATATAGATTTTGTTTTCTTCAAGTAGTTTTATAATTGCATTTACATTTAGGTCTATTACCTATTTTAAATAGATTCTTATGTAAGGTATAAATTCTGTATCTAGGTTTGTATTTTTGCATAGGGATGTCCAGTTTTCTCAGTACCACTTGTTGAAAAGACTATCCTTTCTCCTTTCAATTGCCTTTGCTCATTTATTAAAGATTAGTTGATTGTATTTGTGTGGGTCTATTTATGGCCTCTCTTTCAGTTCCATTGACCTATATGTCTGTTCTTTGCCAATATTACATTGCCTTAATTCGTATAGCCTTGCTGTGAGTCTTAAAATAAGAGAATGTGAGTCCTCCAAGTTTGTTCTTTTTCAGTATTGTGTTGGTTGTTCTAGATCCTTTGCCTTTCAATATACACTTTAGAATCAGTTTCCCAAAACCTGCAAAATAGCTTGCTGGTATTTTGATTGTGATTACATTGAATCTAGAGATCAGGGTGGGAAGAATCGACATTTTAACAATATTTAGTCTAACTATCCATAAACATGGACTGTATATCCATTTATACAGATCTTTGATTTTTTTTCATCAGAATTGTGATTTTCCACATAGAGATAGTATATACTTTTTGTTAGATTCATACCTAAGTATTTCATTTTTTGAGGTGGCATTATAAATGGTATTTTTAAAATTCCAAATTCCAGTTGTTTTTGCTCATATATAGGAATGCATTTGACTGTTGCATATTAACCTTGTATGCTTCATCCTTACTATACTTACTTTTCCATTTTGGGGAGTCAGTTTTTGGGGATTTTCTACATTGAAAATCATGTCACTGTAAATAGAGACAGTTTTATTTTTCCTTTCCAAATGGTATATCTTTTTCTTACTGCACTAGTGAGGGTTTCAGTACTATGTTGAATAGGAGTGGTGAAAGAGGACATCCTTTCCTTGCATACCTGGATAAATAAATCTTCCTTGCATACCTGGATAAATACTTACTTGTTGTGTATAACTCTTTTGTATATTGATCAATTCAGTTGCCTAATATTTTGTTGAAGATTTTTATGTCTGTGTTTGTGAGCAATATTGGTCTGTAGATTTCCTGTCTTGAAATTTTTGTTGTCTATCTCTCATTTCCTACTTGTATTCCTCACTCCAGGTAACCATTCAAATATATTTAATAATGTGTATCTTTTTGTATATATTATTGCAAAATTTATTTTGTTTTATTCTGTTTTACAGAAGTGATAGTTTGCAACAGACTGGAAATTTACAGAGAATGGTCATTCACATATGAGGTTTTTTGGAACATTGCTGTAGTGTTTTACCTTCTGGATTTAGCTGATCACTTTTTTTTTCTTTTGATAACGTTTTCCCTTTATGCTTGAATTTCCTTGTAAACATGTAGTTAGTTCCAAAAGCTTGATTGGATTCAAGTTCAATTTTTTTTAATTTTGTACAAGATGCTGTGTCTTCCACATGTAGAACATATGTTTGGTTCTTCCACATTTATTGACGTGAAAATGATCACAAGTCAGATGTATTGGCCTGATCCTACTGTTACAAAGTTCCCCTCCAACCTTTCATCTAACAGCTTTAACATCCATTGATAGTCATTGTCTAGCCCATTTATTGCATTAGGAATTACAAAGAGATGATTTAAAAAAATTTTATATCCTTCTGCATTTATTAACTGGAATTCTTATCTAAAAAAACTTTCCCTCAGCAGACATTTTATTATCCTAAAGTATATTTTGTAAATAAAGGATAGGAAAAATTACTGGCTCTTTTCCCTTAATGTATCAATTTACAGAGTAATCGGTTAATGTCCTAGCAACCCTCTAACTAGTGGTGTTTTTGTTTTTGTTTTTAGAATCATAATGATCTCTTGTCTTTTTATCTATTTGATTTGTGTTCAGTCCTTTGCAGTCTTCATTCGCTTGATGTTGGTTGTCCCATTTAACAATAGACTGCTTCAAAGTGTCTCAGGCTCATTTGGTGGAGGTCCTGCCACATAGTTTCATCTACTTTATTCATAAAACTAACTTTAGTTTTCTTGTATATCTTTCAAATGTTTGTTTTCTATTTCTTTCATTTCTGCCTTTATTAGTTTTCAATCTTTATTTTTTTCTAGTACAAGGATCCAGTGCTCCAAGCATCTGTTGAAGTACTACTTTTTGCTGAACTCCACATGTTTTTATATATAGTATTTTTATTTCTGTGTGGTATATTTTATATTATTTGATACATGGTACTTATAATTATTTTTAGATTTCAGTTTTGAATTCTTTGAACCATGAGTTATTTAGATAAAGTTTTAAAACTTATAAGTTTATGCATGTTATGTTGTATTAGAGTTGGTTTCACATCTTTTTTGTGTATACAGTGGCAATTTCCACACTAAATCATAGATTCCTCAAAGCAGTACTCTTAAATTTTATTTGGGTGTCTATTCCCTGACTGTGTTTCTTGACATGCAGGAGATGCCATAATATATGTTACAGAATTAAGTGAACTGTCATACTTTTTATTTTACAGGCATTGAAGAATTAAATTCTGAATTAGACTACAAATAGGATGGACAGTTATTTTAAAGCAGCTGTCAGTGACTTGGACAAACTTCTTGATGATTTTGAACAGAATCCAGGTTTGTTAGTTTTTCATTTTTTTGCCACTAACAGAATTTAAAAATGCCTGTACTTCAGTTATCTTAGGTGTACTCAGCAAAATTTAGTTTCAGTTTTGGTCACATGGTTATCTTCTATAAAAAGCTATTTTATTTCATCATAACATTAGTTTATTGTTATACTAAATAGAACCAATAGTCAGAAATGGAAGGAAACTAGATGTTTCTCCAGTTACAAATTTAGCTAAAAGAAAACTTTAAAACCAATATATGAGCCAGCTAAAGGCAACTTGAAAGCTCTATGTAAATTGGTATTTCACTACTGAGAGAAGGTATTTTCTTCATTTTAGAATAAGACTAGGAAAGTGGAGGACAGAACAAAAAAGTTACACTGTTTTTCAGCTCTTCCTTAGTCTGTTTTTTTATAGTACAACTGAGTAATTTTGAGTAGAATTTCTATCATGTTATGACCTATACATTCAAAAGTAAAAACCTCAAGTAGTTTAAATCCAAATAAAAATAATTTTGGAGGTTGTTACCATTTTGCAGGAGAGTAATCTATTTCTGGACTAAAGAAAAGTTTATAAGTCTTAGAATATATAACTTCTTTGTAATAATTTTGATTTGAGTTTCCTGAATAACATTGTATCTCTCTTAATTAGATGAACAAGGTTATCTCCAGGGTGCACAAAATGCATATGATTCTAACCACTGTTCAGTTTCTTCAGAGTTGGCTTCCTCTCAGCTAACTTCACTGCTACCAAAGAATCAACAATGCATTAATTGCTGTGCCACATCAGAAACATGCTATGAAGCAACTCAATTTTCCCTGAACAAAAAAACACTTGAGGAACTAACTTCTGTACAAAATGAAAAAAATGTAACTGGACTTGATCTTCTTTCTTCTGTGGATTGAAATCCAGCCTTTATACATGGGACGATGTAGTAAACCTGTCTGTGACCTGATAAGTGACATGGGTAACTTAGTTCATGTGACTAATAGTGAAGAAGATATGAAAAAATTGCCAGATGATTTGAAATCTAGTGTTGATTCTTTGATTGGACTGGATTTATCTTCAGTTTCCAAAACTCTTTGTGTTTCTTCAACAGACCATGGCAATAATACTGTCAGAGAGGAACAGAATTATGTCAATTCTGACACACAAAATAAAGAAATCAGTGGAACTAAAGAATTGTGCATAGAAGTAGACAGAACACTTTCAGATTCATGTAGTTATAGCAGAAAAGAAAATCTGAAGGATAAAAAGGTCTCTAATAAGTTAGAACCAGTTCTTGATTTTAGCATGTCAGCTACTTTGACTCAGCAAAGTTCCCAAATATCTGATGCCAAAGACAACTTACAACACAAGAACCAGCCATGTGAATTTGTAAAAGCTGATGGCTGTTTGGTGAAAGAAGAAGTAGATGTGGCAGTCATAGCTACCACAGAATATTTAAAAGAAGAAGGCAGCACAAGTGCTTTACCTTGCACACTTCCAAAAAATGAAAGTTTGTGCTTAAATGATTCAAATTCAAAAGATGAAAATCTCAAATTACCTGACTTTTCCTTTCAGGAAGATAGTGCTGCTATATTTATAAAACAATCTGTGAATGAAGACTCAAGAAGTTTAGATCTTAAAGACAATAAAGATGTAACCAAAGATTTCTCTTCAACTTTTTGTGTTTCAAGTGAAGAGATATATTCTTCATTGTCCTGTCTTCCAGCACCTGGCTCTTTGTGTGGATCATTAGTTGAAAGTAAAGCTCATGGTGATTGTTTATGTCAGAATGAATGTAAAGATAATATACAAGATGAAGTGACTGTGTGTGAAGAAATACAGAAGAGTGTTATTCTAGGTGGAGAACCATTGAAGGAGACTGATGATTTGAAACAGGAAAAATATAAAAACATACTTCATCAGCCATCAGTTGAAAGTATGGGAGATGGGAAGATAGATTCTGACCAGAGGGTAATCAGAGTTGAATCTTTGGATTACCCTGATACCCCCGGTTCTTCTACAGCTGCAGAATCTCAAATGGAGCTTTTTGTTGCTAATGTGCCAGAGTCTCCTGATCATTACGAAGGTCTTGCTTTTTCAAGCAATGATAGCAATGGGCCAGACTTAGATTACTTCAATATTGATGAGAGCCTGAAAAGTGGTGCACTAGTTAGTGATGCTGAACTTGATGCCTTTCTAACTGAACAGTATCTTCAGACCAGTAACGTAAAGTCATTTGAAGAAAATGTAAGTGACTCAAAATCTCAGGTGAATCAGATAGATACAGAAGGCCTAGATGACAGAAATGCCAGTAATAAATACTTCAGTGCTGAAGCAGGAGCTACTGGGGAAAGTTCTGGCGTTAATATGATTTGTGAAACTGTTGATAAAGAAAATGCAACAGAAAATGATGGCCTTTCTTTAGAGGAAAAAAGTACAATTCCAATTGAACAAGGCTTATCTAGTAGTAGGTCTGATATTACAAATGAGTTATCAGTCTCTGATGTTAACAGTCAGTCTGCTCATGTTGGAGGGGCCAGACCTAAGCAATTGTTTAGTGTTACATCAAGACCAAGGAGTTCAAAGGAACCAGATAAGCCAGATGTTCCAAATTTGCCTGAAAATGAACCCAGCATGGCAAATACCATTGTTCCAACCACTTGTACTACAGATTCTACAGCTGATTCTCAGGTTAACTTCAACTCTAATTACATTGATATAGAAAGTAACTTTGAAGGTGGATCCAGTTTTGTAACTTCTAATGAAGGATCTCTACCTGTAAACACTTGCAAGGAAGGTCTGGTATTGGGCCAGAAACAACCTACTTGGGTTCCTGATTCAGAAGCTCCAAACTGTATGAACTGCCAAATCAAATTTACTTTTACAAAGCGACGACATCACTGCCGAGCATGTGGGAAAGTAAGTTATAAAAATCTTTGTCTTTATTCTTTAGAGACCTTATAAATGAAATTTAATGTGACAAAAACTGATTAATAGATGGTTAAAAGATTCAGTTAGTTTAAAATAATCATTTTTCATGTACATAGAAATATATACTCTGTTATAGATTGCTTGAAGGTGAGTAAAATGTCACATTGTCATGGTATTAGATGTTGGAAAATGAGTAACTTCTGTGAAATCTAGGAATATGGGTCTTTATCTCTAACATTAATACATCAGATGTTCCAAATTTAGTTAGATCCCCTGTTGTCCTTGAATACTTAATTTCAAGGCCCCTCTGCAGCTAGTGTTATGGTTGATACCTGGGGAAACACTGAAGAAGCATACAGACTTGCACAAAGTTCAGAACACTGAAGCTGATCTTATTTGCATTCTGACTGTCTTAATCATCTGTAAACTCTAAGAATTGCTTATAGAAGTAACACTGCATTTCTTAGTAATATGTTGTCCAGAATAACTCTACTCTCTTTCAGAAAAATAATATTTTACTTTTAAAAGTTTAAATAGAGACCATAGAAAGCTTTTTAAATAATAAACTTATTCAACTTATTCATTAAAGAAAGTTTTTGTTTCCTTCCAATTAACAGAATTGATGTAAAGGAATTCTCTTTGTCAGAGATACCATTTTAAATCGCAGAATTTCATTTAAGTAAAACAAAATACAAAGAATAATAATTACCTATTATGATGATTAGTAAAATTACTTAGGTAATCAGAAAAATGGTTTTTCGTTAGATTTTGGGCTGCCCCTCCTGCGGCCTTCAGTAGATATAAACATGCTTGGGACAAAACCAAATTTGATATTTTAATTCCTTATAGGTATTTTGTGGTGTCTGCTGTAATAGGAAGTGTAAACTGAAGTATTTAGAAAAGGAAGCAAGAATATGTGTAATCTGCTATGAGACTATTAGTAAAGGTGAGTATTAACATGACATACTTCCTTCCAGTAATTAAATATATCTTAAAAACAACTGGATTGTGACAAAGATAAACTTCTTTATTTTCTTAAGGCGAGGACCTAGTGTTGACTTATCTGGCTTAGGTGGGACATCCCAAGGCTTGGTTTCTCTTCTTTTTGTTCCACTCTCACAATTAATACTACCAGTCTGGAAAGGAAGCATTCAGTTTCTGGAGTGGCAGTTCATTAACTTTTAACAGGTACCAAGTCCCTAAATGCTGCATTTCATCTGCCTATTTGTTTATGTTGTCATCATTGTCATCCTCATCATCTTAACCTAAACATTTATAGAATACCTGCCAATAAATAGTACTCAATCTTAAATATTAATAGCACAAGGCAAGATTATATAGTTCCTACCCTTTAGAAAATTTGGTTGTAACCTAAAGTGGGAATAAAAACTAAAGTAGTAATATTTATGATTTTATAGATATATTCAGAGGACTGTCACACGATTTGCACATTTTTATCTCATATTTTCATCCCTTTTCAATTTTAGAATTCTGTTTGTATGTGTTTTCCATTGTATCTCTGGCTCCCTAGCTAGCTACCATTATTGGCAATAATCTTGGTGGTCTTTTTGCAAAGAGTTCTCACAGTTGTGTGTATGTGTTTTACGTTTTTTTCCTCAAATATATGTTTCCTCTTTTGAGTGCTTCTTGGCATTTTCAAAGATTTGTTGACAATTTAATTCCCAGCAAATATTGCTTGGGACTTTTTAAGACCAGACCTGTGCACTAGCTCAGGTACTGCTTCCTGTTAGTCAGGAGAATGAATACCTGATAATAATTTGTTTTTCTCTTTTGAATGAAGATAAATTTTTTCAGCAGTTCTCCAAAAAGCTCTGATGTGAGTCTGTTAGCCTGAGGTAAGCTGCTTTACTCCCTGCTGTTGATCTCTGCTCTGGAAGATAATAGAGTGTAATTTTTTTTTATATTTCTATATTATCACCATTGATTATGAAGAGGTCAGTTTGAGTGCTTATTGTTGTTTTGTTTTTTGTTGTGCTGTTTCAATAGTGTAGAAGATGACTGCTGGTGCTGTTAGCCAAGCAACCTGGTAGAATACAGAAATATCAGACAAGCTCCCATGTAATTATCTCTCTCCACTTAAAAAAAAAATAGCTGTGAAGATCTGAAACACTGAGTTGACAGCTCAGATTTTCAGGTGAACATTAAGACATATTCTGACTGTAAGGATCCAGAAAAGGAGAAGATATAACCATTAAAGAGACTCAGTAGGATATTGAGATCAAGCTTTGGTTTATTAAAGAAAATGTTTGGAATGGATTTATTTAGTTATCTGTTTTTTTCTGTTATGATATAACATAACAAAATTCCATTTATTGGTTCTATACATTGTTGATTTATATACCACAAAAAAGAGAAGTTATTTAATATAAATTTTAAGATTGAAAATGGTTGAAGTGATCATTTAAAATAATGTTTTAAATAAGAGGAGAAAGATGGCTCAAGGATTATCAATCATCCTATGAAGGATTAGAAGAAAAGATAGTTTGATTACTGATTGTGGATAATAAGGAAGTTTTGTTGAGACTGTTATTTTTCAAGGAAGCATACATGTGACTGCCATTAAGTAGGTTTGTGGCACTTTGGAAATTACTTTGAAACCCAAAATATGTTGCCTGGACTGTATTTGGTTAGTGGAAGCATTTATTTCATGAGAGTGCTATTACTTAGTGGCACTTGAGGAAGATTATTTTAGCAGTGTCAACATTTACTGCAGTCAGTTTGGAGAAATAGTGAAGGGATATTTGGAAAAAAATGATCTAGCAATATTCAGGCACTATTCTGCATTTGGGAGCCCCAGCTGAGAACAAAATACATTTCCCCTTCTCGTGGAGCTTATGGTCTTATGGAGCTTATAAATGTGGGGAGAGATGGACAGTAGGCAAAGAGAATACCAGATAGTGATAATATCCTAAACAAAAACAAAAGTTTAAGAGGGATAGATAGTAACATATTGGTGGCAAGATACAATAATTTTTAATGATGCTCAGAGTTAGGCTTTATGATAGTATGACATGTGAGTGAGAGAATAAAGCTATGTCAATACCTATGGGAATAACATTCTAGGCAGAGAATAAGAACAAGGACTTTAAGCTAGGAGAGTGTTTGCTTGACTTGTTGAAGAACAAGGAGGCCTGGTTGGCTGGATCGTAATGAATGAGTGGAATTGTAGTGAGAGATGAGGTCAGACAGCTAACTGGGAAGGTAGAGGAGTTAGGAATGCAGACTGTTAGGGTCTTGAAAGCCTCTGTAATGTGTATTCTCACTGCAGTTGGGCCACCATTAAAGGATTTTAAGCAGAGGAATGATGTGATACTATTTATATCTTAAAAGAATCACTCTTAACTGTTGGAAATAGACTCTATAGGGCAAAACCAGGGACTCATTAAGTAACAGTTACTTTTTAGTAGATATCAAACCTATGCCAAATATAATGCTAAAATAACTAGTTGGTAACTCACACTGAAATGGAGTGCTGCCAGCTAAAGTAACAACATTATCTTTGCCAAGTGCCACTTCTTTTTCTTGCTTAGCCATTGATTTCTTTCTCTATACAACTTGGAAACTAGAATAATTATAATTTACTTTGAATTAAAAAATGTCTGAGATTTTTATCTATTTTTACCCCCTTTATAGCTCAGGCATTTGAAAGGATGATGAGTCCAACTGCTTCCAATCTTAAATCTGATCATTCTGATGAATGTGTCACCATCCAGCCTCGTCAGGAGATTCACACATCCAGTATACCTTCACCTACAAGTTTACCAATCTCAGCACTTAAACAACCAAGTGTTGAAGGTAACTAGAAGAAACTGTGTGTTTTAGACTTAAGATAAATTTTTAAAATAGAAAATTTCTAGTGTTGACAGAGTCTAGTGAGGAAAGAGAAATCAGACTACATAGCAGAAGGAATTTAATGCAAGGAACTCGTTATACATGTATGTTAGAAGGATGCAAGAGCAAAAAAGGGTATGCTCAGGTGACAGAGATTAGTAACTGCAGAAAGCAACCATCACTCGGGGTTGGGCGTTGAAAAGGGACTGGAAGTGTTACTAGAACTTAGTGCAGGAGCACCAGGAGGAGCTTAGTTTTCAGATCTGGGATTCAGGGATTGGAGCATGCTGCGATTTCTGGGGAACAGCAAGGGGCCTCATAGGTCTGGTGTTCAGTTGACCAAGTGTGCTAGAGTTGATGGTCTATCTAATCCCTGAAAATCAAGGGACATGCGGCTGTGTCTGTGGTGCTGCTGCTGCAAGAATCCTGGCAATAACCAGAAATGGAAAGAATCCTTCTCTTCCTACTTTCCAGCCTCCCACCAGTGCCTGTGATGGGCAGAACATGACCAGAGCCAACCAGCAAGGAGGTCTGGGAGTTACACTTTGCACACTTCTAGCCTGGCATCAAAGAGCACCATGTAGGGTGGGCTTGGGGTTGAGAGACAATAGGTAAAAAAACTGGCATACCTCCTTTTCCTTAAAAATTTGTTTTTAAATATATATTTTAGTACAATTTTATTTAAAAGTATTAAAAATCTATTTAAAAATTTTTGTGCTTTCTGTTCTTTTTTACAACGTGTTACAGTTTAGGATCTTGAGTGAAGCCTATACATTTTTAAACATTAACTATTAGTCTGTAACAGGCTGAAAAATAACTCTGTCAGTTAAAGGCAAATTCAGATACTCCTATTATTTTGGATTTCAGTTTCTCTCTTACTCTTTAATAACCATTTTCTGTTTATCATAACTTAAATAAGGAGATTCAGCATGTAATATAGCTCTCAAGATAAATAAATTTGCTTTAAAATATTTACATATTCTCTTATATCGATATCCTAAATAATTAAATTATAAAAGTGTTGCAAATACAAGAACACAATACCTTATTAGTATGTCCACCCATATTGCACATATTTGTGATTCCAGTTTTTTTAGTGTTGTCTGTATTTACATTCAAGAAGGTAGATGTTGATCATTTTTGTTTTTTATATTGTTTTAAAACCATCAAGCAGCAGTTTTCATAACCTGCCTCTATGGATGCTTTATAACAAAAGAGAACAAATATTTATGCTGATCTAGCTATTCTACATTTGGGAGGAAAATACTAATAAAGTTCAATATCCACATTATAAAATAAAAAAATGTTAGGCATTTCTTAAGTAAATTAAAATTAAGAAATGACTTCTGATGCACAGTGATCCTGTTTCCTTTTTTAGACTCCTTATGCTTCTTTCTGTTCTTTGTATGTGCTTTCTTCTATGCTTATCTACCATGCTCCGTTCTACTCCAGTTCCCACCCCCTCTGTGATTTGGTGACTACATTTTATTCAGTCCCCACTCCACATCCACAAATTTAGCCTTCATAATATAGGCTTTAAATCTGCCCACAGTGCCTTTAGGGTATAACCTCCCCTGTACACTCTTTTTCTGAGTATGTGATTCCCAAGGCCAACCTTACCTTTTTATGAATTAGAATAAGGGGTAGATGAATCACCAAAAGGCCAATTCTCAAGGCCTTTGCAGCCCTGTGAATGAAGGGCTTGCCAGTGGATGGCAAAAAGTTTTTTAGAACATTTCCCAGCCTGTTTATTATTAAATCATTACATTATTACCAAATTAAAATGCTTTACTTTTTAAACGAATTCTAGGATTATGCTCCAAAGAACATAAGAGAGTATGGTTTGCAGATGGTATATTGCCCAATGGTGAAGTTGCAGATACAACAAAATTAACATCAGCAAGTAAAAGACATTCTGAAGATTTTAGTCCTCTCTTACCTGATATGTCATTGGTAAGGAATCTAAAGAATGACCTGTTAATTTAATAAGATTTTATTTTGTAGATAAGCCTTGTGTGATTGATTATTAGCATACTTTTTTTTTTTTAATGCTGTGAGCTTCCTAAAATGAGAAATATGTGATGTAGTGAATTTCTTTAAAATTTTACCTTCTAATGTCAGTTTAAGGCAATGATTCTCAGGCTTTTTGGTCTCAGGACTGCTTTATGCTCTTAAAGGTGAGAACTCCAAAGGGCTTTAGGTTATGCAGATTATACCTATTGATATTACTGTATAAAAATTGGAGAAAATTTTTAAAACTCAGTTTAAAAATAAACATCATTTTTATGTTTATTAAATATTAAAAATAATTATTAAATATAACTAATTAAAATGTTAACATATATAGTAATATTTTTATGAAACAATTTTCAAATCAAAAGTTCAGCCAGAGGAATAACATTGTTTTACATATTTGCAAATTTTTTCACTGTTCAGTTCTATATATCTGACTTTATAGAAGACAGATTTTCACACCTGCTTCTACATTCATTCTGTTGTGATATATTGTTTCGGTTAAATGATATGACAAAGATCTTAGGATCTCACTGACTCCCTGAAGGGGTCTTGGGGACCTCAGGGATACCTAGATCACATATTGAGAACTACTTATTGTAGGGTAATAGAACTGAGATTTAGTAATTTAATTAGTCTGAGACTAATATTTGTTTCATGATTTTCAACATTCAGTAAAGTAACTGATGATGGTATTTATGTTTGCCTTTACAAAAGTATGTTAGGTGTTAGAAGATACATAATATAGAATCCCAGCCCACTAAGAGCTCCCATTTTAAAGTAGCGAAATACTCATAGAAGCAAGTATTAATACATAAAGTAGGAATATTTTTATTCATTAAGCAAATACTTATTGAGCATCTACTCTGTACCAATTACCTGGTTTATCCTGGGTACAGACAAGATGAATATGTATTCTGCTCTGTTCAGGTTCACATATATAAATGTATGCTACTTATCAGTAAGAAGAGTTCATGAACTAGATTTTACAAATAGCCATGATTACCAGAAGTATGTTTCTTAGCTAGCACTTACCCTAAATCAATATTTAACAAAATGGAAGTTCTAAACAGTCTAATAAGTACCACTTGGGTTCATAAATGGTTCTCATTTACTACTGACACAGGTTGGCCAGTATTAAAAGAAAGGGGCCTTATTGAAGCTGACTTGAGGTGTAGTTTATGCCAAGTGGTTACTATTGTGGAATATATCTACCACTCTGCTTCCTAACCACTCCCCTCTCTACCTTTCCCTCTTTCCCTTGTCCCCCAAGGCTTTTTTGACTCATGAGAAGGAGAGCATTGGGTTGAAATAAGCTTGCAAACTGTGATACGGTCACATTACCTACCTGTGTACAGCTAAATCTCATGCTCCTAAATTTAAAGAAGTAAAATGCTACCTGGGAAGTAAAATTTCCTGGGAAATGTGGCTTCTGAAAAATTTCTGATCCCATTTTGGTTTTATTTATTCTCATTAAAAAGATGTTTTTGGCTATAGAGATCAGTATTTCCAGTTCACAGAGAGTATACACTGATTTGTTTTTTTTTTATTCCATGTTTTACAGATGGTAAATACAGTGGATCATGTTCATTCTACTACAGTGGAAAAACCAAACAATGAGATAGGAGATTCTGTAAGAAGTGAGATAATTCAGAGTCCTATTTTTCAGGTTCCATCTGTGGAAAAACTGCCTATAAACACAGGAACTGAGAGGTTTCCTACTGCTGGTTCTTTTACCCTAGAAGATGATGTTTTTGCAGAAATTGAAGAGCCATCTATTCCTACTGATACCTTAGTTAACAGCAATATACCTGTTGCTAATACTTCAGATTGTAGGTTACTGTGTGGTATCGAAAAGAAAGTTGGCAATAAGATGAGTCTTCTACCTAATGATGAAGATGGTTTGCCCCCTCTTCTGGTTGCATCTGGAGAAGAGGGATCAGGTAGGGTAGCAGTTATTTAAATTTTAAAAAAGGTTGTTCTAAATGAATGTACTGATGAATTTTGTCTGTGACGTAGGAAATGTGTTTTTTTTTAAACTTAGGAATTTGGTTGAAATATGTACTATATGGCTGGTAACTTCAGTTTACAGAAAGTCTTATTATCTAAAAAAATTCTAAAAAGATCTGAAGTTCTGAGTTGAATTGAATATGATTTATTTATTACATCTGGGTCCCTAATTCAGAATGAGGCAATAGTCCAGTACAGTAGGAAAGCTCATAGACTTCTAGTTCTGAAAATATTTCAATTATATTTGAGTTTTGACTGCATGTTGTGTTTTTTAAAGGAACATAGTACCTAGAGAAAAGAGTAGTGGACTAGATGACAAAACTAGGAATTTTAATTCATCCTCTGCTCCTTAATACATATATGACTTGAGGCATGTTATTTAATGTCTTTGAGCCTCAATTTTCTTTATGAAAGAGAAGAATGTAGATGATCGCTAAAGTCCTTTCCAAGTTGGAGATTCTGTGGCTAACTCCCACTTCAGAGTAGTTCCCTAGGAAACATCCTTGTCACCCCAGGCATTATGCTGCATCCAACAACATGAAATGACTATGTTCTGTGCATAATAATAGAGGGGAATGAAGTTTAGGATCTGTTCTGTTAGTAGGAGCTATTTCATGAACCTAGCTATAGTAGCAGAAATACCCTAAGCCTGGTTCTTTGCATGCCAGGCATATTTTCCTATTGTTTGTCAAGGTCTTTTTTTTTTTTTTTTTGGATATCTTAGGTCTAGACTACTGTCACAGGGTTGCAAATTTCAGAATTTATAATTGAAGTGGCTGGCTGAGTGAACCCATGTTATGTGTTTGTTTTAAAATATCAAAGGTACTAAAATTGTATAAACATGTTTAATTAGCGTATTTACATATATACTATATATGTTTCAGGATTTATATGTATTACAGTCTTAATATCTTTGCATAACTATAAGAGTAAAAATGAGTATATAACAATTGTTCAGGTTGTTGATTGAGCTTATGATATGTGCTTTCTTTTGTTTTTGAATTTGATCAAGCCATTGTTGGATTTATAAATTCTTTTTTCATGGCAAGTATATTTAACAGGAAGTTATATTTATTCTAATTAATATGTTGTTTTCATGACTTAGTGCCTATAGTAGAAGAACACCCATCTCATGAGCAGATCATTTTGCTTCTTGAAGATGAAGGTTTTCGTCCTGTTACATTTGTCCTAAATGCTAATCTTCTTGTAAATGTCAAGTTAGTATTTTGTAAGTAGTGACTCATCTTTCTTTACTTACCTAGTTGGTAATAAGTAGGATTTCTGAATTAATAAACATTGTCACATTAAATTTTGAGTGGCAACTGAAAAAGAGCATTGGATATTGGTTTTTTATCTAAATAGGAATATAAGTAAAATTTGCAATTCAGTATTTAGTTGGACTTGAAATAAAAGCATTGATGTTTCCTAGAGACCATCAATCAGTCTAGATTGAGATCATGGTCTCACCATGAATTGGTTTTTGATGCTCATGATACACAGGAAATATATTTTAGATTTGGTAATTGGGGTAAGCAAGAACACTGATTTAGTAACAAGACAATTTAAAATTAAGTGACATATGACCCAATTAAAAGGAGGGCATTAATCCTTAATAATAAATAATCCTTAATACTTAACAGTGCATCTCATAGCTTTTCAATCTCTTTGAAACTAACTTGATTCTTAACCACTACATTTAAGCATATTAGTGCATCTTTTATTTTTGTTTTATTAATTGACTCTATAAGATAATCTTTCATCCTTTCTTTTTTTTTACCTTAATCTTATTAATGTAAAATAAGAAAACAGTTCAGTTTGAATTTTTTGAGAGAAGAATGTTGGGAAAATAAGCAATTTTAAAAATTGTGCTAGCAAAGGACACTTATATTTAGATTTTTTGGTTAATAGAAGATTCATAGTTGTATGCTTTTATCACTTAAGATTCTTCAGACAGATGTTGGTACTTCTCAACCAATGGACTGCATGGCTTGGGACAGGCAGAAATTATTATTCTGTTGTTATGTTTGCCAAATGAAAATAGTATTCCTAAGGACATCTTCAGACTATTTGTCACCATATATAAGGATGCTCTGAAAGGTATAGCATTTTATTTTGAACTGTTCAGATGAGGGAATGAATAAGTTAATTCAAACACATTTATGTGTTTGGCTATGCTAACTGTATCAAAGATTCATTTTCTGAAGAGATTGGTAGTTTCTTAAAATAATCTAATCATTTTCAGTCTTCTTAAATCTAGCATTTTATGTAATTGGTATCTTTATAAAGATTTTTTTTTATTGAAAAAAGTGGAAATGAATTTGCCTTCTTGATTTTTTTATATATCTATATACTTTTCTTAATGTCAGTACTTTTGGGGGGGGCATAAGTTTTTACATGACCATACAGTAAGGAGAAAAATTTAAAAACACCAATGGCTAGAAATACTAAAAATTTTTATTCTCAATGCCCAGTTTCTAGGAATAACTCAGCTTTGTGTATACAAGGTATTCAAAGCCTCTGCAAGAGTGGAAATAAGAAAAAAAAAATCTACAATGCCTTTATTTAAGAAAGTTTATACTGGGACATTCAAACTCAAAATGTCTCTTCAAAATAACTGAAAATCTTTCTGTTAATGATTTTATTTCCAGGAAAATACATCGAAAACTTGGACAATATTACTTTTACTGAGAGTTTTCTCAATAGCAAGGATCATGGAGGATTTCTGTTTATTACACCTACTTTTCAAAAACTTGATGATCTTCTATTACCAAGTAATCCTTTTCTTTGTGGAATTCTTATCCAGAAACTAGAGATTCCCTGGGCAAAGGTTTTTCCTATGCGCTTAATGTTGAGATTGGGTGCAGAATATGAAGGTAAGTTTTAAAATAATGGTACATTACATGGGTTTAAATAATACTGAATGTAAAGTAAGGATTTCAAGGATATTACTAAAATTTTTTTAATGATTCATAGGACTACTTTTGATTGCATGTACTTTTAAAAAAATTAAGTTATCATCAATACACAATCTTACGAAGGTTTCACATGAGCAACATTGTGGTTTCAACATTCACTCATATTACCAAATACCTCAGACCCCAATGCAATCACTGTCCATCAGTGTTGTAAGATGCTACAGGGTCATTACTTCTCTTTTCCGAGCTGTGCTGCCTTTCCCGTGACCTACCTAGATTGTGTGTGCTAATTCTAATGCCCTTTAATCCCCGCTCCCTCCCTCCCCACTAATCCTCCCCAGTCCCTTCCTTTTGGTAACTGCTAGTCCCTTCTTGGAGTCTGTGAGTCTGCTGCTGTTTTGTTTTTTTAGTTTTGCTTTATTGTTATAATCTACAAATGAGTACAGTCATTTGGTACTTGTCTTTCTCTGCCTGTCTTATTTCACTGAGCATAATACCCTCTAGCTCCATCCATGTTGTTGCAAATGGTAGGATTTGTTTTCTTTTTACGGCCAAATAATACCCCATTGTGTATTTGTACCACATCTTTTATCCATTCATCTACTGATGATGGACACTTAGGTTGCTTCCATATCTTGGCTGTGTAAATAGTGATGTGATAAACATAAGGGTACGTATGTCTTTTTGCATCTGGGATCTTGTTTTCTTTGGGTAAATTCCTAGGAGTGAAATTCCTGTGTCAAATGCTATTTCTATTTTTAGTTTTGTGAGGAACATCCATATTGCTTTCCACAATGGTTGAACCAATTTACATTACCACTAGCAGTATAGGAGGGTTCCCATTTCTCTGCATCCTAGCCAGCATCTCTTGTTTCTTGTCAGATGTTGGCTGTCCTAACTGATGTGAGGTAATATCTCATTGTGGTTTTACTTTGCATTTCCCTGATGATTAGCGATGTGGAGCATCTTTTCATGTGCCCACTGGCCTTCTGAATTTCTTCTTTAGAGAACTGTCTGTTCAAATCCTCTGCCCATTTTTTTAATTGGGTTAGTTATCTTTTGGGTGTTGAGATGTGTGAGCTCTTTATATATTTTAGATGTTAACCCCTTAATTGGTTATGTCATTTATGAATATATCCTCCCATACTGTAGGATGCCTTTTTTTTCTTCTGCTGGTGTCCATTGCTGTACAGAAGCTTTTTAGTTTAATGTAGTCCCATTTGTTATTTTTGCTTTTGTTACCTTTGCCCAAGGAAATGTGTTCAGGAAAAAGTTGTTCATGTTTGTATTCAAGAGATTTTTGCCTATGTGTTCTGTGAGTTTTATGGTTTCATGACTTACATTCAGGTCTTTGATCCATTTTCAGTTTACTTTTGTATATGGGTTAGACAATAATCCAGTTTCATTCTCTTGCATGTAGCTGTCCAGTTTTGCCAACACCAGTTGTTGTAGAGGTTCCCTACTGTATGTTTGGTACAGTACCAAACTAAATGTTTGGTAAAATTCAGCAGTGAAGCCATCTGGTCCAGGTATTTTATGGTTAGGTAGTTTTCTGATTACCAATTCAATTTCATTGCTGGTAATTCATCTTTTCAGATTTTCTGTTTTTCCCTGGGTGGGTCTTGGAAGATTGTATTTTTCTAGAAAGTTGTCCATTTCTTCTAGGTTATCCAATTTGTTAGCATATAATTTTTCATAAAATTTTCTAATAATTCCTTGTATTTCCATCATGTCTGTACTGATTTTTTCTTTCTCATTTCTGATTCTGTTTATGTGTGTACACTCTTTTTTCTTGATAAGTCTTGCTAGGGGTTTATCTGTTTAGTTTGTCTTCTTGAAGAACCAGCTCCTGGTTTCATTGAGTCTATTGTTTTATTCTTCTCGACTTTATTTATTTCTGCTCTGTTCTTTATAATGTCCCTCCTTCTACTGACTTTTGGCCTCATTTGTTCTTTTTCTAGTTACATTAATTGTGAGTTTAGACTGTTCATTTGGGATTGTTCTTTCTTGAGGTAAGGCTGTATTGCAGTATACTTTTCTCTCAGAACTGCCTTCACTGCATCCCACAGCTTTTGGGGTGTTCAGTTATTGTTTTCATTTGTCTCCATATATTGCTTGATCTCTGCTTTTATTTGGTCATTGATCCAGTGATTACTTAGGAGCATGTTGTTAAGCCTCCTTGTGTTTGTGGGCTTTCTTTTCTTTGCATAATTTAGTTTTATACTTTTGTGGTCTGAGAAGCTGTTTGGTACAATTTTAATCCTTTTGTATTTACTGAGGCTCTTTTTGTGGCTTAGTATGCAATCTATTCTGGAAAACGTTCCGTATACACTTGAGAAGAATGCATTCTGCTGCTTTTGGGTGGAGTGTTCTATAGATGTCTGTTAGGTCCATCTGTTCTAATGCCTTGTTCAGTGTCTCTGTCTCCTTGCTTATTTTCTGTCTATTTTATCTGTCTTTTGGAGTGAGTGGTTTGTTGAAGTGTCCTAAAATGAATGCATTGCATTCTATTTCCCCCATTAATTCTGTAGTATTTGTTTTACATAGGTGTTCCTATATTGGGTGCATATATATTTATAATGGTTATATCCTTTTGTTGGACTGCCCCCTTTATCATTATGTAATGTCCTTTGTCTCTTGTCACTTTCTTTGTTTTGAAATCTGTTTTGTCTGATATGCATACTGCTACTCCTGCTTTTTCCTCCCTATTATTTGCATGAAATATCTTTTTCCATCCCTTCACTTTTAGTCTGTGTATGTGTTTGGGTTTGAAGTGAGTCTCTTGTAGGCAGCATATAGATCATTCTTGTTTTTTTTATCCATTCTGTAACTGTCTTTTGATTGGTGCATTCAGTCCATTTACATTTAGGGTGATTATCTATAGATATGTACTTATTGCCATCGCATGCTTTAGATTTGTGGTTACCAAATGTTCAAGGGAAGCTTCTTTACTATCTAACAGTCTAAATTAAGTCACTTATTATGCTACTTCCAACACAGTCTAAAGGTTTGTTTTTATTTTCTCACTTCTTTTTCTTCCTCCTCCACTCTTTATATATTAGGTGTCATATTCTGTACTCTTTGTCTATCCCTTGACTGACTTTGTGGGTAGTTGATTTAATTTTGCATTTACTTAGTAATTAATTGATCTACTTCCTTTAGTGTGGTTTTATTTCCTCTGGTGACAGCTATTTAGCCTTAGGAACACTTTCATTTAGAGCAGTCCCTTTGAAATACACTGTAGAGATGGTTTGTAGGAGATAAATTCCCTCCACTTTTGCTTATATGGAAGTTTTTAAATCCCTGCCTCAAATTTAAATGATAATCTTGCCAGGTAGAGTATTCTTGGTTGGAGGCCCTTCTGTTTCATTGTGTTAAATATATCATGCCACTGTCTTCTGGCTTGTAAGGTTTCTGCTGAGAAGTCTGTTGATAGCCTGGTGGGCTTTCCTTTGTATGTGATCTTTTTTCTCTGGCTGCTTTTAATAGTCTGTTCTTATCCTTGATCTTTGCCATTTTAATTATTATATGTCTTGGTGTTGTCTTCCTAGGGTCCTTTGTTTTGGGAGATCTCTTCACTTCCATGACCTGAGGGACTATTTCCTTCCCCAAATTGGGGACATTTTCAGCCTTTAGTTCCTCAAAGAGACTTCCTTTCCCTTTGCCTCTTCTTCTTCTAGTACCCCAAAACCGCGAATATTGTTCCATTTGGATTGGTTACACAGTTCTCTTATTATTTCATTCCTACAGATCTTTTTTTCTCTTTGTGCCTCAGCTTCTTTGTTTTCCTGTTTTGTAATTTCTATTTAATTTACTGTCTCCTTTACCTCATCTAATCTACTTTTAATTCCCTCCATTGTACATTTCATTGCAGGTACTGCATATTTCAAAGTTTCTGTCTCTTTCTTGACCTCCTCGCTGAGATCTTGAATATTTTTCTGTAGCTCTGTTAGCATGTTTATGATTTTTATTTTGAAATCTTTATCAAGAAGATTTGTGATTTTAATTTCACTTAGACCTATTTCTGGTGTCTGGTGATTTTTTGTACAAAATTTTTTTGCCATTTTATATTTCTAGTGATTCATATGGAATAATAACTTTGTGTGGGTGACACCCTCTAGTGCCTGGAAGCTCTGTTCTCTGGAGCTTCCCAGCACCTGGAGCCATGGTGGGGTAACAGGAGCTGTTTCCTGCTTCCTAACTATAGTGGCTGCCTCTACTGGCAGCGCCAGTGGGTTGAGCACTCAGGGAGTAAGTAGCCTCTGTGTTATGCCCCTGTAGCTGCCATAGGTGGGGCCATCCTCCAACTAGTCTGGCTCAATGGTGGGGGCAGGAGATGTGTAGACTACTGCCTGGCAGAAAGAAGGAGTGACAGGCTGCATATCACAGTGGTGGGGTGCCTCAGAGCTGTGTTCCAGCCAGGGGGATGGAGCTTCTTAAGCTCCTGAAAGTTCCCAACCTGCTGGGCTGAGTGTGCCCAGATTACTTTGTCCACCTTTCCTTACTCCTCAGCAGCAAGCTCTGTATAATCCTTGCCCCTTTATCACCTCTCTCACTGTTGGGAAGTCTTTCAAAGGGCCTGTCTTTCTTTTTTCTCAGAGAGGCCAGTTGTGTGTACCTGTTCTCCACAAGCAGCTGGTATCTCAGTCTCTTGGGTATTCTGCCTGTCTTTGCTTTCCAACCCCACTAATCTCCAGAGCAACATGTAATGTGGGTTTGTGCTCCCAGAGCAGATCTCCATGGCTGAGTGTTTAGCAGTCTGGTGTTCTACTGCCTCCCTGCTCTGTTTATCTTCCTCCTTACTGTGAGCTGGGGTGAGGAGAAGGCTTGGGTCCTGGAGGTTCACAGCTTTGCTACTTAACCCTTTTTTGTGAGGTCTTCCCTTTCCCCCAGATTTAGGCAGTCTGTTCTGCAGTCGTTAGGTCTCCCTTTCATGATTATTTATATTTGCTGTATTTTTGTGTTATATGTGGCTTTGGGAGGATGTTTCTACCTCACTTCTCACACCACCATCTTTTTCTCCTCAATTCCATGTACTTTTAGACTTAAAAAACAACCCTCTTCTACTAACAAATTAGTCTAGACAACCTTGGTATGTCATGAAGTTTCTAGATGTTCGTAATTATTAGCTTACCTTAAAAACATTTTTTTAAAAATTTCAGAACAAAACATAGAAAACCTTGAAAAGTTTTCTTAAAAGTATGTACTGTAGGGAGTTCATTTTGTTATGTTGCCTCTGTATTAAGATAGAGGTAAAAGTAAGGTATTTCCCCCCTCAGTTTGTGTACATCATAAAGCCGAACAGAAGGGATTTTAAAATAATGGTCTAGGTTCATTTATATGGTTATTTCTAAGTCAAAATCATTTCTAGTGTGAAACTCTTCTGAACCTCACCCTTTATCTCTTTTCTCAATAAATAATTTATGTATTGTATGTGAAGTATATAACATCTAATGAAATTGTGGGCATTTGATTTAAGATAATTGAATAGGTATTTTTGTAGGGGAAGATTAAATGTAGGGAAGTTATAAAAGTTACTGTTACTGTTTCAAACTGGACAGATGCAGTGTGAAGGATATATACATTTAAATCCCTCTCATAAACTTAGCAAACTGACTTGGGGGAAGTCCTTACCATTTAAGATTTAAATATGCATTATTATTAAATTGTGTAAAAAGTGACAAAACATAACTTTCAGGTTTTATATTGAGTGAACCAAAAAACTTCTATAAGCTGAAATGGCATAAAGAAAAGAAACAATTACCATTTCTTAAAAGCAAAAGTCCTGTTTGTATTTCTTTCGGTTGCCAAAAACAGGTACTAATGTAGGTCTTTTGTAGAAATGAAGTGTATGTGAAGCAAACTTTTGGATAGCAGGGGAAACCTGTATATAGAAGTTAACTTGCCTCAGATGTTTTCCGAGTTATGTTCTGCTGGATTTTAGATAGACTGATGCCTTGACATTATTGGTGCATGTGACTCTTTAGACAGGAACTTGGAAGTGTGGTGTGTGTATTTGTGTATATGTGTTCATTTTGTTATAGTGATAATGTATGCATGGAAAAGTTAATGGTAGAATTTAGAGGCCCATTAAAAAGACTGAAAATAACTGTCTGAAATTAATAATTTTCAGTGGAGATTATCTATGCTGATTTGTTGAGACCCTTTGTTTAGAATATCATGAAATGTTGGATTAGATGATTTAGGAGGTCCCTTTGTAACTCTGACATTTTAAGCTTTAACCTTTTGAAAATAGTTTTAAATCAAATTACCTCTATAATTGCAGAAGATGCTCGCTCATTCATAAAAATGAAGTAGAAAGTTAGCATTTACCTTGATCATATAATTTATCAGTTTCATGTTTGTTTCCAGTCTACACCCTCTGTCCTCCAAATAACTTAGTTATTCTTTTTAAAGGTAAAAAATATGTTTGTAATAGGAAAGATGTGAGTCACTCTGACTTGTTTTTAAAATAGATGTCAGGTTTGTCTTGTTAGAATTTTAAGGAAATCTATTTGTATGGTATGTATTAGAGAGGTTTGTTTCCTTATGACCTAAGCTGAGAACGGAAGGTTAAAAATGTATCTGCTTTCCATAATAATAGAAATAGTCTTACCTACCTCTTTTCATCCTCCTCTCCTTCCAGAAGCCCTGCTGTATTGCCAGCAAGGTGTCTTTTCCATTTTGGTGTGCAACATTTATAGTGCCCTAAAGGAAAGACAAAAGTAGTTGGTGACACACTCCATGTCCTTTCTCTGCATTGGCTTCTTTGACTTTATATGTTTCTTTTATCATGCTGACCCAAGAACTATAAAAATTACTCTCATCTATAAATTAGCACAATTGGACATTAACTATAAATGCCTTAAAATCATTAATTCTTCACATTTCTCTTTAAACTTTCAGAACTTTATAGTCTAGCCAATTATTATAATTTTCCAAACATCTTAATTTTGTGGAAACAACATGTATAATGAAAAGATTAAATACTTTGGAATCAGCCTCAGCCAAGGCTAGTTTCAGATCTGTTTTACCAGTTACTAACTTTGGTAAATACTGGTACCAAATTTACCAAATTGGTGCCTGTGACTCTTTAGACAGGAACTTGGAAGTATGGTGTGTGTTATTGATCTCTTTGTCTCTTCTTTCCCATTTGTAAAGTAGGGATAGATATACTTGCCTTATTTGGTTGTTATAGGGTTTAATTAACATAATGTATGTAAAGTTCCCAGTATAATTGTAGCATCTAGTAGATAGACAATCTGCATTAATGATGTCCCTCACTTTCCCCAAAGAACTGTTTAGGTGGTATTGTCCATAATGTTTGAAAAAGGAGAAATAAAGGTAATAAACTCAAGACTTCTTTAAATTTTTGTGGACAGTAACCAGTTTTCCTTTCTTATCTATAGCATATCCTGCTCCTCTAATAAGTGTAAGAGGCCGAAAACCTCTTTTTGGAGAAATAGGACACACTATTATGAACTTACTTGTTGTGAGTAATTGAACTATTTTATTGTGTTATTATTACTTTAAAAATTTAGCAAATCTTTTACACATTATATTTTCTTGCTTTAACTTGGCATAGTTGGTATAATGAAAGTTCATTTATAATAAATCCTAATTCATTTAGCATTAATGGGATTTATTGGATAAATTGCTTTTTAGAAACATCTAATTTTGTGTACCTGATTCTCATTGCCTTTTGATTCATTCTGCTGCAGTGCTTACACATTTAGTTAATGTTAGGTCTACACAGTTGAAGCTCTAGTAAAAGTGTTAGTAATATCAGTTTGGTGACTTTAAGCAAATTGTGGCCTAAGGGTCCTCATTTGTAATAGGAAGGGTTGGATTAGATCATCTTAGGTTCCGTTCCACCTCTAATTTCTATAATTTTATGATTACTTCTTACCATAGAAAAATTATTTCAGCTGACTTGCTTTTATTAGCACATGTTCAGTTCAAAGACCTATTCTGTCTTGGAAGATCAGTAACTAGAAATAAATCACCCCCAAATACTACAGAATTCTTCTTGAGAATGATACTAAAACTGTGGAGTAGTTTTAGTTGGAAGTATTAGTTCGTTTACTAAGTTGGTACTGCTTTCTGGATGGCATTTTGATAGTTATACTCTTTAAAAAGGATTTAATGAATGGTTAAATGCTTCTGGGTAGTGGTTTAAAGTTTATGGAGATCTCATTATTTTATGTAGGACCTTCGAAATTACCAGTATACCTTGCATAACATTGATCAGCTCCTGATTCATATGGAAATGGGGAAAAGCTGCATAAAAATACCTCGGAAAAAATACAGTGATGTAAGTTAAATTACCTTATTTGAATTTTGAAGATAATTACTGAACATTAGATTTGCTTGTGTTTAATTTGTTTTGAATTGAACTATAACGTAAAATGGCAAAAAAGACTACTTTTGATATTTTAGATTTGTTTGCTAACAAGGGATTTGTTTAATTCTATTTGTTCATTTTTTCTCACTGTTTTATTTGGTCAGAATTTTAACTGTTTGAATTATTGTAACAAATAAAGGCATGATGTTAAAAGTGTTTCTAAAAAATCTTGGTTTTTTCCAGGTAATGAAAGTAATAAATTCTTCTAATGAGCATGTTATTAGTATTGGAGCTAGTTTTAGTACAGAAGCAGATTCTCATTTAGTCTGTATACAGAGTGATGGTGTTTATCGAACACAAGCCAACAGTGCTAGGGGCCATCCTAGAAAAGGTAAGTATTGTTTCCTAATGTTGACCCATAAAAGTATCTCGATAAATAGAATTCCTTTCAAAGGGGAAATATGTATATTTTACTTATTTACTAGCTGAATTGATTATAATAAAACAGCATGCATTAAAATCTTAGTTAGACAAATAGATTAAAAAATTGCTTCCAATTTGTGTTTTTCTCTTGGGCTACAGTAGGTTTAGACTTGGTATACTATATTTGTTTTGATATCTTCAGGGTTGCTGTATCCCATATGATAGGAGGCTTATTTTCAGTAATTTTTCCTTGGAATGGGGTGTTTTTCACCATTTTCTGCTCTCTGCTACAACTTCTCTTAGTTTGGGGAGCACAGGGTGGATAAAGATAAAGAATGATTTGTAAAACTGTAAATAGCTAGAGGTATAGAAATGATGAAAATGGTGGAGTAGGTAGCATATATGAGTGACATTTCTCTCAGTTCTGGCTGAATGGCCTCAGTGACTGCTGTGATTACCAAATCCTTGTAGTAGAGGTAAGTTAAGTGGAAGCAAGTAATCCATAAAATTGATACATTATTATAAAATAGTATAATGACAATTAAAACAGTCTGACATGCTGGCTATTAATAAAATTATTTCCTCTAATTATAAAAATAGTTTAAACTCATTGTAGTAAGTTTGAAAAATATGTTTTAAAAAGGAAATGAATAAAAGTGTCAAGATAATGGCCATTGTTGTCATTTTAATACATTTTTTTCTTATTAGTATATGATAAATAGATGATTTTGTGCTGTATAATTTTTATATTGTACTTTTTTTACTTAATGTCATTGACATTTTTTGTTATTAAAATTTAGCAACTATTTAATATTTATTTGTGGCCTAGTTATATATGTGCTGTAGAATTCAAAAGGTATAAATATTATGTACAGTGTAAATCCCCTTTCCTTCCTGACCCTTAAGTTACTCTCTTCCCCTCCTTGACTCCTAAGTTATTCTCTTCACCTCCCAACAGGCAACCAAATCACTGTTAACAGTTTTTTATATATCCTAAGAGAAGCATTTTTGCTTATGTGTATATTAAAGCAAACCACACACACACACATCTTCCTTCCACTTTTTTAAACAAGTCATAGCATTTGTTCCATTCTGCATCTTGTTTTTTCTTTGTTAACACACCTTGGAGATTATTCTATGTTAATATAGAGTGAACTCTCACATTCCACATAACTTACAACTTTATATGTGTGTATCATGTAACTGTTTCTTACTAATGAACATAGTTGTTGCCAATCATTGGCTGTTTATAAAAATGTATTATGAATAACTTTTGTATGTGCCATTTATTCCTAGAAATAGAATTGATGTGTCAAAGGATAAGTGTATATGTAATTTTAATAGGTAATAATGAAATTATTCTTCTCTATGAAGAGATTGTTCTGATTTATACTTTCATCAGTAGTGAAATTTGATTTCCACACCCTCACTGACATAGACAAAACCATGTAAAATAGTACAATGGCCATCAGTTATTAGATACAAACATTAAATAATCTTTATGCAGTATTTTATCTTAATTTTGGTTAGTTTGTTTTTGTTAGCTTTCTAAGGTAAGTCGTATAGGCATGGCATTTATCAAGTACTTAAAAATGTGCTATACTCCACATTATCATTTAACAAATATATAGCATAAAGGGAAGATTACAACATAAACAATTTTACTTTATTTCTTTTTTTATTCAGTGACTGGTGCAAGTTTTGTGGTATTTAATGGGGCTCTAAAAACATCCTCAGGATTTCTTGCTAAATCCAGCATAGTTGAAGGTATGAACTTCATCTTTAAGATTGTGTTAATATAAAGGTATTTTCCATTTCCTTTTAAAAATATATCTGATACTTAAAAAAAAAACATGTAAATTACAAAGCTTAATACCACAAATTTAGGTGAAATCATCACCCAGTGTAAGAATTAGAACATGACCAAAATTTGTGACTACCTCAAGCATGACAGCTTGGTATTAGCCTTCACTTCCTGCTTGTGCAGAGCCTAAAGGTCAGTCTGAGGTGACAGTTTAGGGCCTTCTCAAGTCTTTCCTTCACACATGTATTGCACTTATGTATGGCCTTCTAAATTCCCAGAAATATGTTGGAGCTTTTCAAAGCCCTGTAGACGTCTCATCTCCAGCTTTTCTTTTAAGTGTTTGGTTGGTCTGTTGTTTGCTTCTACTGTTAACTGCTGCATTGGCAGCTGTGATGTGTTAACCACTGGCTGCTAATTGTTTTTGACAAGTGCTCTCTTGAGAAAAGACTGCACAAGGGAAAGCTTAGAGTCAACTCAAAGACAGACAGCGTTGTAAGTGGTCTCTTCTGGGGAACCACCTGACAAGTCAAAAACTGACAATTCTTGGTAATGAGGCTTTGAAGAAGCTCTTAGCCCCCTTTTACCCTCTCCTGTGGCTACCAGGTTGCTGGTTTTTACCATAATAGCAGTCTGTTGGTTCTTAAGGCTCTCCACTGAGCTGGAGAGGAGAGTATGAGAATAGGGAGGTTAAAATGACACAAACCTTGCTGTACTTCTCAGGATCCAGCCATTTTTCTTGAATAAATGCTCGTAGATTGCTGCAAGCCTTTGGTTAATCTCTGGAGTTGTGAGAAAGTTGCTTCTGACATTTTTGATCAGTTTCCTTGTTCTTTTTCTGGAGAGTATTTTCAGAGGTTCTTTGCATTTCACTAATGTTATCCTCTGTATTAATCTCAGTTACATAGCTTTATAGGAAATCCTTCTATCTCTGCTGCCACACATATGCCTTATACCTCTAGATATGCCCTGGCCAGTGTAAGCCCTTTGATTTTCTGTATTAATTTTAGAATCAGCTTGTCAGGTTTTATTGTAAATGGGCTGCCTTAAATTTATTTGGGTAATGTTTAATGTCTTTCAGTAGAATTTTATAGTTTTTGTATAGGTCTTGTGTTCTTTTCTTGATTTATTCCTGTACCTTACAGATTTTATTTCCGAAGTAAACGCTATCATTCTTAATTAAAATTTTTATCTGTTTTTTGCTGGCATATGGAAATCCATTGATTTCTTTATTGTCATCTTTAAGCAGGTCCAACTCTTATTATTTAAAATTTACCTATAGATTCTTTTAGTTTCTATGTAGCTAAGTATACTATCACTAAGGATGGTAATTTTGCTTCTTTCTTTATAGTCATCATGCCTTTTATTTATTTTTCTTGTTTATTGGTGAGGACTCCCAGTGGAAGCAGTGCTTGTAAATGCTCTTGTCTAGACTGATGTTTGTCAGTAACACCTTTTAAGTATAAATGAGCTTTATAATTCAATCTTATGTGTATCTGTTATTCTGATGATGGAATGTGAGATACTCAATTATTCTTATTTCTTACCATGTATCTTCAAGTTTTTTAATGTTTTCTTTTATGGTAGGTTTTGATTTTGCTCCACTTTTCAGGGGAGCAGTTTGCCCTGTGATCTCAATTCTCTGATAGATCTAAGAGTTATTCATTTTCAGTTTAGTTTCTTTCTTGTTTTGAGGATGGGAGTGACAATTTACATGCTCTTTACATGTTGGAGCAGACACCAGGAGTCATTAGCATTTTTTGTAATACAAGTTGGCTGGCTTTCATTTATCCAAACCTGTCTTTATTTTGTTTTCTTATTTGAAGGATATTTTTGCTAGATACAGCATTCTGCTTTGAAAATTCTTATTTTCTTTAAGGATATCATTTCATTTGTCATTGGTCTCCATTATTTCTAGTGAAAAGTCAGTAACAATTTTGTTATCCTGTACTTAACATACCCTTTTCCTCAGTCTGTTTTCAAGATACCCTCTTCATCTTTGATTTTTACCAGTTTTACTGCAATGTGCCTCAATATTGTTTTCTTTGTGTTTATCCTGATGACATTTATTGAGCTTCTTGGCTATGCATCAATATTTTTCATCAAATTTGGGGAATTTCTTACCACTTTTTTTTTTTTGACATGCCAGTCTTTCTCCTGGTAGCTACCTATAGCTATTTATCTTTTATAGACTGTTTAATACTCTCCTATGGTCTTTGATGCTCTTTTTTTTCCCAGGTTTTTCCTCTGGTTTTCAAACTGGATAATTTTTATTAACTTTTCTTCATGTTGATTCTTTCTTTTGCTCTCTTTAATCGACTATTAATGTTCCTATCAAGACCAGCCATTTTTCTTGAATAAGTACTGCCCAGATTGCTGCAAGCTTTTAGCTCATTTCCACAGTTCTAAAAAAGTTACTTTTTACATTCTTATATCTGCCGGGTAGATTGAGTAGAAAATGAAAACCAAGGGTAGAAATTTTTGTTACTAAAATGTAATTGATTTTGAGGTTTCAATTTTCAGTTAGATTACACCTGTTGGTTCTAGAATTTCCTTTTGGTCTTTCCATTTTCTATTTCTCTGTTAAGATTCTTTTTATCTGTTTATTCATTTAACCCATATTTGCTTTTTATTCTTTAGATGTTTTTTCCTTTAGGTTTTCGAATATATTTTAGAATATTTTTTTAAGTGTTTGTTTAATCCAGTGTCTTGGCCATCTTGTGAGTGGTTTCAGTTATATTGGAGCTCACATTTTTCTGTTTCTGCCTGGTAATTTTTGATTATGTACTTGTCATTGTTGATATGCTGTAGAAACTTTAGATCTATTAGCTTTTGCAGAAGAAAGCTTACTTATGTAGAAGCAGGCATTTTCATGACTAATGAGCTTATGTAGTCTTTTTCACTTTGTTAACAGATAGGTCTGTGGAATCCAAAGGTGTTTACAAACTGCAGGGTTCATTCTCCAAATCTGTTTTGCCTACAGGTTTTTGTAAGGGCTTTGTTTGGCTTTGCTACAGTTCAAGTTAATGAGGTGCTAATAAGATCTCTCTACTTTGGTTGGTCCAGACTATCAATATCCCCAACATTGCTCGACTTCTACTGTCTCTGTTCTGTTCCCAACCCTGTGACAACTGTTCTGTTAGACTTCATCAAGTCCAATTCTATTAATGTGGTGTGTCCCCAGTTCTAGTACAAGGACTCAAAGGGACCCTTACACAGAGTTTTATGGTGCCCCCTTCTTGAGTGTCTTAAAGATTCCAGACTTTTCTAAACTCTTAACTTTGACTTGTGAGCCCAGTAGATCCATTGTGAGTTTTACAAGTCCCCCAAGCAGAGAACCTAGGCGATTGTGGGCTCACCTTCTGAGTTTTCCTTTAGGGATCACAGTATTGCACTTCTTGTTGTCCCGTACCTGAAAACAGTTGCCTCATACATTTTGTCTAGTTTTATGGTTGATTCAAACTGGATAATTTTTATTAACTTTTCTTCATGTTGATTCTTTCTTTTGCTCTCTTTAATCGACTATTAATGTTCCTATCAAGACCAGCCATTTTTCTTGAATAAGTACTGCCCAGATTGCTGCAAGCTTTTAGCTCATTTCCACAGTTCTAAAAAAGTTACTTTTTACATTCTTATATCTGCCGGGTAGATTGAGTAGAAAATGAAAACCAAGGGTAGAAATTTTTGTTACTAAAATGTAATTGATTTTGAGGTTTCAATTTTCAGTTAGATTACACCTGTTGGTTCTAGAATTTCCTTTTGGTCTTTCCATTTTCTATTTCTCTGTTAAGATTCTTTTTATCTGTTTATTCATTTAACCCATATTTGCTTTTTATTCTTTAGATGTTTTTTCCTTTAGGTTTTCGAATATATTTTAGAATATTTTTTTAAGTGTTTGTTTAATCCAGTGTCTTGGCCATCTTGTGAGTGGTTTCAGTTATATTGGAGCTCACATTTTTCTGTTTCTGCCTGGTAATTTTTGATTATGTACTTGTCATTGTTGATATGCTGTAGAAACTTTAGATCTATTAGCTTTTGCAGAAGAAAGCTTACTTATGTAGAAGCAGGCATTTTCATGACTAATGAGCTTATGTAGTCTTTTTCACTTTGTTAACAGATAGGTCTGTGGAATCCAAAGGTGTTTACAAACTGCAGGGTTCATTCTCCAAATCTGTTTTGCCTACAGGTTTTTGTAAGGGCTTTGTTTGGCTTTGCTACAGTTCAAGTTAATGAGGTGCTAATAAGATCTCTCTACTTTGGTTGGTCCAGACTATCAATATCCCCAACATTGCTCGACTTCTACTGTCTCTGTTCTGTTCCCAACCCTGTGACAACTGTTCTGTTAGACTTCATCAAGTCCAATTCTATTAATGTGGTGTGTCCCCAGTTCTAGTACAAGGACTCAAAGGGACCCTTACACAGAGTTTTATGGTGCCCCCTTCTTGAGTGTCTTAAAGATTCCAGACTTTTCTAAACTCTTAACTTTGACTTGTGAGCCCAGTAGATCCATTGTGAGTTTTACAAGTCCCCCAAGCAGAGAACCTAGGCGATTGTGGGCTCACCTTCTGAGTTTTCCTTTAGGGATCACAGTATTGCACTTCTTGTTGTCCCGTACCTGAAAACAGTTGCCTCATACATTTTGTCTAGTTTTATGGTTGATTGGTTGGCATCAGAAAGGGCATTTTGGTATCAGTTATTACATCATAGATAGAAGCAGAAATTTTCCCTTTCTTTATTAGTTAGAAAAAAAATCCTTTGTGAAATATTTTTATTTCCTAGTGGCAACAGCCATTAAGGTGATTCAACAGATGATTTAAAACTTACTTTGTACAGAACCTGTTTTGATAGCAGATTTTATGGCTTAGACATATAAATTGATACTTAGTATAAGAAATGTGAAACATAACTCTCATTTTTAGATGGCTTAATGGTACAAATAACTCCAGAGACTATGGATGGCTTGCGGCTAGCTCTACGAGAACAAAAAGACTTTAAAATTACATGTGGAAAGGTTGATGCTGTAGACCTAAGAGAATATGTGGATATCTGCTGGGTGGATTCTGAAGAAAAAGGAAACCAAGGGTAGGAATTTTTTGTTTCTAAAATGTAATTGATTTGATGGAGGAGGAAGGATTGAAGACATTTTGTTAACAAAATTAAACATTTTATGAATAAATACTGAATTATACCATTAATTTAAATGCTTATACTCTAATTAATGAATGTAGTCTGTTTCCTCAAAGGTGAATCTGACTAGCCTCTTGTAGTTTTCTTGGCCAGGATGCAGTAAACTATTAAAGATTTTCAGTGTGGTAGGGGGCCAATGATAAAATGTGCATTGTGTGGACTTGATGCCTGGGCTGAGAAAGGCAAGGTAATTTTTTTGTTTTATGGTACCTCTTTTTGTCAAGTAAGTAAAGGATTCCCTTTGGATGTTCATTCTGTATTATTTTGATTCCCTCTAAATACCAACAACTGAATTAAATAATATGTACATTGGAGGCCTTACAGAATGTTACTGCCATTCCTTACATTCAATTATCCATTTTCTCACTTTTTTTGAGATTAGCTAAGGGTTCTGTAGTAAAGAAGGAAAAAGAAGGCTAATGATAGAGGATTCCTCAATTTTTGAAATTCATGAGATAGCTTTTCTGTTAGGAGACTATTTAAGATACTTTAAACCTCAGGTGTGAATTAGGCATATGAAAAAGTACATACAATTTTCTACACAATCAAGAGATCTTGGTAAATTAATATGAACTACAGTTTTAATTATTTTGTATGTAATTGAGATTTCTTACTGCTACTTTAAATTTATAGCTCTCATAATTTTTTTCCTTATTCTATTTGTTCAAATCTAATAATTCATTTCATAGAAAGTACTTTGTTACTAATAATTCTATTGTGTGATTTTTTTTTTCCATAGTGTTACTAGTTCAGTGGATGGAATATCATTACAAGGAATTCAAAGTGAAAAAATGAAACTGGAAGCAGATTTTGAAACTGATGAGAAGATTGTAAAGTGTACTGAGGTAACTGAGAAAAGATTCCTTCCTTTTACATGCTTTGTCTGAATATGCTTTTTGTTCTTTTAACTTGGAGATTTCACAGTGTATCTTATTAAATTTTTTACATTATTCCTTGACACACACACACATTATTTCCACACCAGATTGCCTTTATACACCTGATTTAGATTTCCAAAGTACTGTATCAGGCTACTGTATAGTGGTGCTGCCTGACAGCTCACAGTTAAGTTTTGGCATTATCACCATCTTTGTACAGTAATGTGTTATTTAACCATATTATTTTCATTTTTTCTAATTTTATAAAAAATAATTGCATAGACTTCAGTTTGTAATCAGCATTCACATATGAAAGTTATTTTTGTATGTTCTAACTTTTTAAAAATAAGACATTATGAAACTATAGACTGCCAACCCCTTAACTACCTCCATATCCCTCTCCTCTGCTTTCTGGTTCAGGCAGTCAGTTATTCATGTCTTATCTATTTGTGATTATATGAATTGAACACAATAGAAACTATAGAGGATGTAAAAATTAAAGAACACTGTTTTTGTGTTTCATCTTAACTTCATTAAGATATCTATATACAATGGTGATCATACAAGGTGGACTCAGGAGTATCCTTCTGTAACCTGAGGCTTTTTTTTTTCTGTAACAAGGCTTTTTTGCTACAGGTTAACTTTGGGCAAAAATAAGTCATTCTCATTGCTCTTAACTAGTGATTTTTCTTGGCACTAACATTGCAATTTTATTAGAAAGTTTAGTTGAAATTAGTATTGTTGCATTTTTAAAACTACTTCTTATCTTAATCATGACTTGTTTCCTAATTACATTTCAGGTGTTCTACTTTCTAAAGGACCAGGATTTATCTATTTCAGCAACTCGTTATCAGTTTGCAAAAGAAATAGCCATGGCTTGTAGTGCTGCACTGTGCCCTCACCTGCAAACTCTAAAGACTAATGGGATGAATAAAATTGGCCTCAGGGTTTCCATTGACACGGATATGGTGAGGCATGTTATTGTGCTATATTTTTTTAATGAATGCACCATATATTAAAATAATTCTAAGTTTTTTCTTTAACCTTTTATATTGGGAGGAATGAAGAGAACCATAATTTGTTGAAAATCAGTGTGTGCTACATACTTCATGTACATTATCTCCTTTACTTTCCTTGACAGAGGTCAGCAAACTTTTTATGGTAAAAGGCCAGACAGTAAATGTTTTAGAAACTGGGCTGTATGATATCTTTCATAAAAGCAGCCATGGACAGACAGTATGTACACTTATGGCTCAGCTGTGTTACAATGAAACTTTGTTTATAAAAACAAAGTTGGTGGGCCAGATTGGTCCACAGGCCATAGTTTGCTGACTCCTGATCCACAACAATCCTGCTTGATAAGCAGGTTTTTTAATGTATTATTCTGACTAGATTCTATATTCACATGATTATAATTACATAATTCTAAAAGTGTTAAAAAAGGAAAAGCTTCATTTTTTTCCTTCCTATGTAGGGAAAATCCCTGTTCTTCCTGTTTTCTTCTTATGAGTTTCCTTTACTACTCATACAAAACACTTCAGTTCTGACTTCCTGGTGTCCATAGTGTGGAGGTTTTCCCCCATAACAACAAGCAGTTCTTAGACAATAGCAGAGCATCCAAAAATTCAACTCAATTCTGACACTGTCTATCCAGAAATAACATTAGATCCCACAGGTTAAGGGTTCAGTCCTACAAGATTGCTTCCCATTTCAGATGTCAATAGCATGCCTAGGTATCTCCTGCACTTCCATTTACCCCCTCCATGGGTTAGAATAATTTGCTAGAGTGATTCTCAGAACTTAGCTAAACACTTATTTATGTTCATCAGTTTATTAAGGATATACAGATGGACAACCAGATGAAGTGATACATCAGTCAAGGTTTGAGGGACTCCAGAATGCAGGAGCTTCTGCTCCTGTGGAATTGGAGTTAATCAGCCTCCCAGTGTGGATGTTTTTACCATCCTGAAAACTCTCTGAGCCCTTTACTATTGGATTTTATGGAGACTTCCTCATATAGGCGTGGCCAATTATTAACACCATTTCTAGCCCCTCTCCCCTCTCTGGACAACGAGCAGGGCTGAAAATTTGAAGCTTCTAATCATGGCTTGGCCTTGTGACTAGCCTCCAACCAGGAGCTGACCCAGAGTCATCTCAGTAGAACAAAAGATGTTCCTAGTGCTCTTATCATATAGGAATTTACAAGGGTTTTAGGAGCCCTGGGTCAGGTCAGAGACAAAGAGTAGAACAAGAGATATTCTTAGCACTCTTACTACTTAGGAAATTTCAAGGGTTTCAGGAGTTCTGTGCCAAAAACCAGGGGAAGAGACCGATACATATTTTCTGTATTTCACAAGTGCATCTGTAACAGGACCACTTCACTGAACATTTCCAGAGAGGAGCATTTATATTGTAGTCTGTGTGATTGGTAGTCCCTGGAGGTACTAACTCCAGGCTACAATGTAAGTGGTTCCCAGTAGAGTTGTGTAAGGTACTAGCCCTAGAAAGATCTTCCTATTTTTCCTACCCTTGACTCCCAAACCTTTACCTTTATCTCCATACCTCTACCTGCATACTCCCCCCCTCATCCTTCCTTCCTGGTCAGGCAATCACAATTTGTGATTTTTTTTACATGTACAAGCAAATAAGTATCTGTGTCCTTTTGACTCCCCTTTATGTTTTTTAAACCTTACTTCTTTAACTTCATATTATCTTAGAAATATTTTGTATTACTACATATTTTTAACAGTTGCATAAGTGTTAGTTGTATATATGCTACATTAGTAATTGATTATAGGAATGTATCATAAGTTATTTAACTAGTTCTTATCTGTGTTTGGCAAATGGATTGACATTTAGGTTGTCCACAATATTTTGCTTTTACATGAGTATGTAAGAAACCTTCCTAGAGGTAGAATTGCCAGGATATAAGTATATGCTTAATAGATATTACCATACAATCTCAAATAGAGGTATACCAATTTATATTTCTATCACAGTTTGTGAGTTCTTTCCCCCACATCCTTACCAAAGCAGTATGTGATCAAACTTTTGAACTTCATCAGTTTGATAGGTGACGAATGGATATTTATTTCCAGCATCCAATGTAACAGATTTAGAATGGTTAATCTAAACATGAACTTGTTCATATGCTGAAGGTTTGCTTCAGCCAGGATGTGTTCTACTCATAGTTCTTACTGGAAAGAACTGGTATTTTCATCTCACTGTTAAAAATTCCTTTTTCAGAGAAGCATCTGATAATTGTTGAGTAAGTACTGTTAATTTTTTAGTTAGATGTATTAAAATGTAATTTTCACCAGTGACATTAAATTCAAATATTAAATATTATTGCAACAATAATATTTAAGTCATGACTTTAAGTCATGTTGGCAATTATTCAAAACCTTGGTCTTCCAATGTGTTTGTGTGTTTGCTGAGAAACCTAAAGTATTAAGTAGTGACAGTTTTTTTTGTTTTTGTATCTGTGGGAGATACAAGTGTAATTTATGTAGTAGATGAGTAAAATAAATAGAATATAAAACATTTTATGAATAAAATATCAAGTATTTTCTTAACATGCTTAAAGTGAATTATATTTTTAAATAGTTTATTTTATATTCATGTGCTGAGCTAAAAACAAGACTGCTTACTTTCTAGGGTTGACTTACCAAGATTTTTATTTCCAGGTTGAATTTCAGGCGGGATCTGAAGGCCAACTTCTTCCTCAGCATTATCTAAATGATCTTGATAGTGCTCTGATTCCTGTGATCCATGGTGGGACCTCCACCTCCACTAGTTTACCATTTGAAATAGAATTAGTATTTTTCATTATAGAAAATCTTTTGTAGTGAAAGGATGTGAGTCATACTGTATGTTGGCAAACTAACTTGATAAAACTAACTCCAGCACTAAAAGTGAAATGCCACAAACACTAAGAGTAAATATGTTTGATGCTTGAAACATGTAAGCTTTACTTTTTAGGCAGGAATGATCTTTTTAAATCATTAGCACAATATTTAAATCTCTAAAAATTTAAGAGATCTACAGTTTTTGAAGCTTTACACTTAATACAAGTACTAAAAAGACAAAGATTTCTTCTGTCTTTAAGAAATTTGTAGCATTTATTGTATATTATTTAAATGCTATGCCAAAGTATCTGCACTTAGGGATACCTCTTTATGTCAAGAACAATTTAAATGAAGGCCCTTTTCAGATGAAACCTTACGAGGGAAATAGCTGTTTTGTGTATATGCCAGTTAGATTATTGATTTATAAGTCTGTTAAAAAATGTATTTCAGTGGTATAGTTTCCACATCTTAGACCTACATAATTCTTTGAAAAAGGCAGATAACTTATTTCTATAATTGGAGTGGAGACCTACCTCCATGATTAGATAAACTCATTGTTTGGATTAAAATAAGAATTTTGCCTTTTTTCTTCTCAAATTATTATATATATATATATCTATATCTATATCTTTTTCTTGATTAAATAGTTATTATTAAAATAATTGTGGGTGCTTCAGGATTTGTGCTTCTATAAGTATATTGTTTTTATAGCAGGAACATGTGATTTGGTATGTGTTTTATAAATCTTTAATAATTAATAAATAGGTAATATTTTTGTATTGCACTGCATTATTTTTCCTCCTATCCTTCTGAAGTATACCACTGTATTTACCACTTCTAAGAGTGACTGACAACAGGCCAGATGACCCTTGAAGTAGTCATTATGTAGCAATAAAAGATGCCTGACATAGGTTTTTTTTTTTTTTACCTCTCCTTTAAACCTTAGAAGTTTCTTGGCATGTCTGCATATTTTCATTGACACTAATGTATTAAATATAAATTGTAATGAACTAAATACTTTTGCATATTTAAATTCTTTATATGGTAGTTATTCTTTATAACAGGTTATTAAGGTAAGTTCAATTCTGTGCATTTGAAACTGTTACAGAACATTCCTCTTCAAACAGCAAAATAAAAGTACATTGTGTTACAAAAAAGGGCATATTTTAGTTCTGCATTTAAGTTTATAAAATGTAATTAATGATTTAAAAAATTCTTATGTTGATTATATATGTTTTTGTATCAAGAAACACTGTATATTTCCAGAAAAAGAAACTACACTGAATAGCCCTATTTTAAGAAAAATACTATGGGGCATATTAACTTGAAGACAGTATTAAAATGTAATTTTCACCAGTGACATTAAATTCAAATATTAAATATTATTGCAACAATAATATTTAAGTCATCACTTTAAGTCATGTTGGCAATTATTCAAAACCTTGGTCTTCCAATGTGTTTGTGTGTTTGCTGAGAAACCTAAAGTATTAAGTAGTGACAGTTTTTTTTGTTTTTGTATCTGTGGGAGATACAAGTGTAATTTATGTAGTAGATGAGTAAAATAAATAGAATATAAAACATTTTATGAATAAAATATCAAGTATTTTCTTAACATGCTTAAAGTGAATTATATTTTTAAATAGTTTATTTTATATTCATGTGCTGAGCTAAAAACAAGACTGCTTACTTTCTAGGGTTGACTTACCAAGATTTTTATTTCCAGGTTGAATTTCAGGCGGGATCTGAAGGCCAACTTCTTCCTCAGCATTATCTAAATGATCTTGATAGTGCTCTGATTCCTGTGATCCATGGTGGGACCTCCACCTCCACTAGTTTACCATTTGAAATAGAATTAGTATTTTTCATTATAGAAAATCTTTTGTAGTGAAAGGATGTGAGTCATACTGTATGTTGGCAAACTAACTTGATAAAACTAACTCCAGCACTAAAAGTGAAATGCCACAAACACTAAGAGTAAATATGTTTGATGCTTGAAACATGTAAGCTTTACTTTTTAGGCAGGAATGATCTTTTTAAATCATTAGCACAATATTTAAATCTCTAAAAATTTAAGAGATCTACAGTTTTTGAAGCTTTACACTTAATACAAGTACTAAAAAGACAAAGATTTCTTCTGTCTTTAAGAAATTTGTAGCATTTATTGTATATTATTTAAATGCTATGCCAAAGTATCTGCACTTAGGGATACCTCTTTATGTCAAGAACAATTTAAATGAAGGCCCTTTTCAGATGAAACCTTACGAGGGAAATAGCTGTTTTGTGTATATGCCAGTTAGATTATTGATTTATAAGTCTGTTAAAAAATGTATTTCAGTGGTATAGTTTCCACATCTTAGACCTACATAATTCTTTGAAAAAGGCAGATAACTTATTTCTATAATTGGAGTGGAGACCTACCTCCATGATTAGATAAACTCATTGTTTGGATTAAAATAAGAATTTTGCCTTTTTTCTTCTCAAATTATTATATATATATATATCTATATCTATATCTTTTTCTTGATTAAATAGTTATTATTAAAATAATTGTGGGTGCTTCAGGATTTGTGCTTCTATAAGTATATTGTTTTTATAGCAGGAACATGTGATTTGGTATGTGTTTTATAAATCTTTAATAATTAATAAATAGGTAATATTTTTGTATTGCACTGCATTATTTTTCCTCCTATCCTTCTGAAGTATACCACTGTATTTACCACTTCTAAGAGTGACTGACAACAGGCCAGATGACCCTTGAAGTAGTCATTATGTAGCAATAAAAGATGCCTGACATAGGTTTTTTTTTTTTTACCTCTCCTTTAAACCTTAGAAGTTTCTTGGCATGTCTGCATATTTTCATTGACACTAATGTATTAAATATAAATTGTAATGAACTAAATACTTTTGCATATTTAAATTCTTTATATGGTAGTTATTCTTTATAACAGGTTATTAAGGTAAGTTCAATTCTGTGCATTTGAAACTGTTACAGAACATTCCTCTTCAAACAGCAAAATAAAAGTACATTGTGTTACAAAAAAGGGCATATTTTAGTTCTGCATTTAAGTTTATAAAATGTAATTAATGATTTAAAAAATTCTTATGTTGATTATATATGTTTTTGTATCAAGAAACACTGTATATTTCCAGAAAAAGAAACTACACTGAATAGCCCTATTTTAAGAAAAATACTATGGGGCATATTAACTTGAAGACCAAGCTAGGTTGTAACTCAGGACCTGAGGTCTCAGGCTAGGAGAGATTCAGAATTTTAGTCATTTAGGTCATATAGTCCTACTGAGTTACACCAGTAATACTAGACAAAGGCACAGTATGGAGGAGAATATCAGTCTTCTGGAAGTAGCTACTTCATAAATAACATAAAATTGGCAGATGTCAAATAAAATGGCAACATGTAATCTGTCAAATTTATTGAAATAGTATAAGATAAAGACAACTGCATATCAAACTTATGTTTTCTTTATATAGTATGTATTTTGTAATATAAGTAGCTCACAGTGTATGAATACTGAACTTTTTTTTTCATTTTTGTGAACTTACTTTAAAATAACCAAATGGTGGAAGACTCTTCCCATGATGGGATAGCTTTGGATTTGTTTTCATAAAGTCTTTGTTAATAAAAGTTGGAATTATGTGCCTTTGGAGGCACATTTTCAAGTATTCTTTGTAGATGTGTATGTTTCTGAATGCATTTGTTACTTACTTGGTCATGTTCTTCACATTGGTACTTAATTTGAAATTTTAATTTTTTTTAAGTTGAATAATAGAATATTCTTTATACTCAGGGTGCAATGGTCAGTGTTTGGTCTTAGGCCTTTTAGTACTCCTCTTTCTCTGAATTTTGAAATATGAAGTAAAATCTACTTGATTTGTCTAATGCAGCCATACAATAAACTGTGTGTCTATATTGTTGCTATGTGCAGAGCACTTTATTAGGCTTCATTGGTTGAAAGGTATATAAAATAGTTATTTTCTTGGAGCTGAATGCATGTAGCAAATAACAAAGTAAAAGTAACTGTTCATAATAGATAATGAATCTTGACTAGGTGGTTGGAAAACAACCCAGGATGATAGCCATACCAAATGAGAATGCAATCTGTGAACCTCCTGGGTCCTAGTAGACATTAAACTTGTCTAGGCAAGAGTTGAAAATCTGGAAAGTATGTAATATGTAAAAAAAAAAAAAAAGCAACCTCTCTGTTTAAGGCAATTTACTTTAGTCTTCTGTGCTTTGTGAATATCTTACCTTATCATTTAATCATGAAAGTAGTTGCCTAAGTATAGCCTAAATTTAGATACTGTTTTATAAGAACCAAACTTAGCTTTTTATTAATAGCAAGTGTAACTTAGATAACTTGATTCAAATTTTAAATGGAAATGTCTTAAAATGAACCAAAAAACCTTCAAATCATCCTAAGTTTTAATTTTTTTTTTCATAATTTAAGAAGTTTCATATAGGTAATACATATACATCATTCAGAAACCAGAAGAAAATATTAGAAACTTATCAATATGTTTTATTTTCCACTTTGTATGCATCTACCTTGTTTTTTTCATTCCCCAATCTCAACAAATAATCATTTTTATTAGTTTCTTGTGTGTCTTCCCAGGTTTAGGTGCAGTAGCAACAAATACAAATACATATTTAGAATCTTAGAGGTTTCATTGCTTTTACTCATGAATGATAAAAGTATCTTACTTGCAGAAAGGCAAGAACAAAATCCATTATTGGAATTACGACCATATGTTATGGTAGGAGAACTAGTTTTCTTCAAACAAAACTTTTATTACCAAAACACTTGCAAGGTTATTTTTTATTTAACCTGTATTTAAAATCTTAATTTTTTTCCTACCAGACACTAAATTGTGCCATCTAATTTATATTTTACCACTGACACATTGGTTTTTTTTTTTTCACATCACATTTTTAGTAGTTTTAAATATTCTCTTTGTATTTTGTGTTGTGAATTTAGCTTGTAATTATGTACAATTTAACACATTTGGGGAAACATTCTCTGTGTAAGATAAATTCTAGCCGAAATAAGCAGGCGACGAGAGGCAACAAAGGGCCAGGCAGTTTATTTGAGCGCAATTCCCGGGTGATGTTCCCGGTCTGGCTATCACAGGCCAGGGAAGTCACACTCAGCAGGGCAGGCAGCGAGTTTTTAAAGAAGGTAGGGGGAGGCAGAGCTTAGATTTACAGCGGCGCGAGGATTGGCTAGCTTATGGCACATTTTTCAGGTTGGGAGGGGGCAGCAGCTGGGGACTTTGGCACTTCATCAGTGTCCGACATGCTCACCCCTCCCTCTGGTGCCTTCAACCTTACACTCTGCATTTGCATTGATAAATTCACAACCATATTTGCATGCTTTTTTACAAATTAAGAAGTAGGTCTAATTCAAGTGCTTTATTATGAACCTCTGAATTTAACAAAGGCCTTTTTTTCTTTTCATTTAGTAAAATACTGTACTATCCAACCTCCAAGATACAGCCCACAGTGATCTCCACACCTCCTCATATTCACACCCTTGGGTAGACCCCTCCCACATTGTACTATATTTGGTCTTCCTAATAGAATGCAGCAGAAAGGATGGGGTGTTATTTCCAAGACTATGTTGTGAAAGACTGTTGCTTCCATCTTTGTTGCATTTCTCTCCACTCTTTCTCTTCCTCTCTTCCCTCTTTCTTTACCCCTCCTTTTTATCTGTCTGTCTATCAGATCACTCTCTCTTGGGGAAGTCAGCTGCTGGGTGTGGGC